ATTGTGCCTAGCCCCAATCCCCCAACAGCCTGATCATTTAGGCCGACCTCCTTAACTAGTTGTCTTTGTTAAAAACTTTGAAAGAATGATGCTTAACAGACTGTACTACAGAATCAGACTTAACTTTCCCCCTACCTCTATGGGTTCATGAAAGGTAAAAGTGAGCAGAACTGATTTCCACATTTCTCACTGCAACACACCTCTACTAAGTTTACCACTTTTCTTGATCTAAAATCTGCATTTGAGATAGCGGACAGAACCGTATACTACATGAACTACCAAAATGAAATATTGGTGGTAGCTTACTCTACTCTGCTGGATAAAAGGATACCTGTCAAATAGAGTATCCTCTGTCCTTTTTACCAAGGCTTCAGAGTGATTCTAAAGAATGTCTTTAGGTACACACCGCAGGGAGGAGTTTCTTAAACCCAGCTATTTAATAATCTGATTAATGCCTCTCCTAAATGCTCTACCTGCCTCACCTAAACATATAGCTAAAAGCTATGCGATGATATACATGATCCATACAACAGGGCAAAGAAGCTGAATATCATTCTTAATGCAGTTCAAGCAATTTGTAATCGACTAGGGCCTCAAAATATCTTCCTCTAAAACAAAATATTAACAAGCAAACGACATCCCCCACCCATCTATTTGCAGGGTGAAATCATTACTACGTTAAAAACTTACGAGAGTATCTTGGTGTAGATGTACCCTTTAACAAAATCCACTATACCACAACTAAACAAAAATGTAAGAGACTAGGCTAAATGCTCTCAAAGCTGTTGCTGGCTACAATCCCACTCATGGTGCTAATGTGAGAAATCGTGAGAATGATGTACATACCAATGTTAGGGTCCTTATTGATTCTGGGCTCCCATAGATATGTAGATTATTAAATCCAAATGTATTCCTGTTAACCCTTTGGGCCTAGTTCCTAGGCCTTTGTGTATCCATATGCTCTCGCGCTACCGTCCACAGGATGGATATGGGGTGCACAATAAACTAGCCACTTCGGTGGCAAAATCTCTCTAATCTCATACTGGTCCCTGGACCGGAACACTGATGCTGGTCATACTGGTCCCCAGACCGGAACACTGCCTGCAGGTCATACAGTCCTGGACTGGCATTGGTGCTGGTCAAACTGGTCCCGGGACGGGATACTGCAGCAGTCTATCCTGGTCCCCGTACCGGGATACTGGTGCTGGTCATACTGGTCCCTGGACCGGTTCAACTGGTCTGGTCATACTGGTCCCCTGTACGTGACTTGGAGCTGGTCATACTGGTCCCTGACCGGATACTGCTGCTGGTCCATAGAACAGGTCCCGCGGACCGGGATACTGGTGCTGGTCATACTGGTCCCTGGACCGGGATACTGGTGCTGGTCATACTGACCCCTGGACCGGGATACTGCTGCTGGTCATACTGGTCCCCGGACCGGGATACTGGTGCTGGTCATACTGGTCCCTGGACCGGGACACTGGTGCTGGTCATACTCGTCCCTGGACCGGGATACTGGTGCTGGTCATACTGACCCCTGGACCGGGATACAAGTGCTGGTCATACTGGTCCCCAGACCGGAACACTGAAGCTGATCATACTGACCCCTGGACCGGGACACTGGTGCTGGTCATACTGTTCCCTGGACTGGGATACTGGTGCTGGTCATACTGGTCCCTGGACCGGGACACTGGTGCTGGTCATACTGGTCCCTGGACCGGGACACTAGTACTGGTCATACTGGTCCCCAGACCGGAACACTGATGCTGGTCATACTGACCCCAGGACCGGGACACTGGTGCTAGTCATACTGGTCCCCGGACCGGGATACTGGTGCTGGTCATACTGGTCCCTGGACCGGAACACTGATGTTGGTCATACTGGTCCCCAGACCGGAATACTGCTGCTGGTCATACTGGTCCCTGGACCGGGAAACTGGTGCTGGTCATACTGGTTCCTGGGCCGGGATACTGGTACTGGTCATACTGGTCCCCGGACCGGGGTACTGGTGCTGGTCATACTGGTCCCTGGACCAGGACACTGGTGCTGGTCATACTGGTCCCTGGACCGGGACACTTGTGCTGGTCATACTGGTCCCCAGACAGGAACACTGATGCTGGTCATACTGCTCCCAGGATCGGGAGATTTCTTCTTCCTTGTCCCTGGACCGTGCAACTGTTGGTCTTCCTGGGTTACACCTAGCACCCAGGTACCTAGTTACTGTTAAGTGAACACAGAGCAACAGGGGTTATGGAACACACCCAAAGTCTCCGCCCATCCCAGAATCGAACCCAGGTTCTTCGAATGTGACTCGAAGGCGCTACTGCAAAGCCACGAGAGACCTGTGAGCCTTGCGGCCCCTTGCATCTGAGGGCCTCGAGGACAACAGTATCCCCAATAATTTAATTTTCTATATTGATGAGTTGGGGGTAAAACATTTTTTCATTTTCTGTTAAGAAGCACTATTTATAGAAAACGCATTTTAGTACTAACTTAAATAAAAACAGCAAATTTCGAGAATATACTTTTTGATACTAAGATAAAATTTGTTAGGATTTTTAACCCCGTGGGAGGGTTAGAAACCTAATGCAATTCAAGACAGTCAGTGAGTCATCAAGGACTGTCTGTATTTTTGTCCATTGTGGTTCTTCAATCTTGTCCCCCAGGATGCCACCCATACCAGTCGATTAACACCTAGGTACCTAATTACTGCCAGGTGAACAGGGGCAGCAGGTGTAAAGAAACATGCCAAACGTTTCCATCCGTGTCGGGGATTGAGCTCCAGACACTGAGTATGAGGCGAGAGCGTTGCCAACCGAACCACAGAACATACTAATGAGTTGCGGGTCAAATTTAAACTTTCTGTTAAACGATGCAATCCATAGAAAACGCGTTTTTTTAAAGGATGTCCTGCACCAGTTTCTCCAATGGTAAGTAAGTAAGTTTATTCAGATATACACAAATACAGTTACATAGAATTATACATAGCAGCATATGTGTAGAGAACCTGGGATAACCCAAAAAAGTCAGACAGAGTGACTTATTTCCATTTGGGTCCTTTTACCTTATTATTATAATATAAAGGTTATAATATTTTCTTATTATTCTACAATGAAGATAACATCTTATTATCATACTAAAAAGACTATCTACTACACGAGGGTCATTAAGATTATCTACAATACTAGGGTCATTACTAGGAATAAGATAAAATTTACACGTATGTTAGCTAAATAATAGAAAATCATTCCCCTCCCTTTCTGTAGCTACATTCATCAGACACCTTTTGGCACTCTTCTTGAACTGGTTCATGCTATGACTGGCTTTGACATGTGCGGGTAGTCTGTTCCATTCCTTTATTGCTGTACAATAAAAGGTGTTTGACGCCTGGCCAATGACTGTGGGTACTACAAAGTTGTGCTCTCTCCCCCTAGTACTATGATTGCTTTGGCTCACAACCTTGACAAAATTGACAGCAAGATATTCTGGACACTGTTTGTGAGCAATTTATAAACATGATTTAGCTTCAGTTGTTTTACTCTGTCTTCAACATTCAGCATATCCAACTGCTGTAATTCATCCTGGCCTACATGTTCTCTTGGTCCCAGCCCCAGGATGAATCTTACGATTTTGTTCTGGGTGATTTGCAGTCTATCTTTCAGTTTTTTTGTCAAGGCAGAGTACCATGAAGAGCAAGCGTAATCCATATGGCATTGTATAAGGGCTAGACATAGGGTCCTGCGAGCCTCAGTAGGTAGACACTGTGCTTGTCTATACAGGAACTAATCGGTACGTCTGGAAACATTAGGATGTGTTTCCCTAAGATACCTGCTGTCCAGTGTTCACCCATCAGTAAAATAGGTACCTGGTTGTTAGTCGACTGGTGTGGGTCGCATCCTGGAACAAAATTGACCTAATTTGCCCGAAATGCTTTGCATAACCTGGGGCTTTCTGTATAGTAGTACGTTATTGATGTCATCTAGGCCTGTATACCTTGTACATGTACATGTAGAAATAAAGATTATTATTATTATTATTATTATTATTATTATTATTATTATTATTATTATTATTATTATTATTATTATTATTATTTTTTTTTTTTTTTTGCACAGGACCTCACTAATATGCTTCCACCATTCCTTTCGCTGAATGACTTACACAGATTTAGTGTTGAGTGGAATACGACAACAATAGAAACCAAAACTTCTGGTCACCTCCATCAGTAGGCGAGGGGCATTAGCATCGTTACAGCTAGTGCCAGTCTAACCAGTTATCACGAGTAACAAAGTACCACACCAAACATTATCTCTTGTTCACTTTCGTTCATCATCCTTTTGAGCCTTGTCACCTGAGAGTTCTTCAACGGAATCTTAAGCAGGAATTCAGTCATCAGTGCTGGGCTTTATGAAGTTATACAGCACAAGGAGTGTTGAGGCTTCGAGTCTCATGTAATAGCAAGACAAACTCTGTTATAAGAAAGTGAGAAGGTAAGACAGAATAATTAAAGCGAAAGGGAAAAGATAGATGTTTGTGTATTTCCCTGTACTAAAGGTAGGTCGAGACATATGGGCACGTCTCGCACTCACTGCCCCTCTTCACCTTCAGTTAAAAGGTATATGGGCGTTAGTCGATCATTGTTTGTCGTATCAAAGGAATTGTCAGGTACTACGAACCACTACAAATGTCACTCAAATGACCTAGTGACGCACTAACAGGACGCTCTGTATAAATTAAGAGAAAATAAAAAAAGGGGTTTTGCCTGAGTTATTTGTACTCATGGTAAGAGGAAGAGGCACTGTGAACTTACCTTTTCTGTACCCATACAATGCATGACATTATAATTCCTCCTCTTAGAAAGAGACACTATGGACTGACCTAACCTGTACTCATAGTAGGTTGACGAGGCACTGGACTGACTTACCTGTATTCATGGCAGGAGGAAGAGGCACTGTGGACTGTTTTGTCTGTTCTCATGGCAGGAGGAAGTGTGAACTGACCTGTCTTTGCTCCCGCTGCCAGGGTTACTGCCCATGGCACTTTTCATGGCATTCTTAGTGGAGGTGAAGGACTCGCTGCTGTCGGCTCGGCAAGGGGCGCCCCTACACCCCTTCAGCGCCGCCTGCCTGTTAGAGAGGCTCCTGGATCGCCTCCTCTCCGTCACTCTGGGCATGGCTCCGGCGTGCCTTCTGCCCAGCTGTGTGGGCATGACACTGTACCCTCCCAGCTGGGAGCGATGCTGTTGCTGCTGCTGCTGTTCCCTCATGATCACAGTCGTGAGAAAGTCTTCAAAGCCGTTAACGTCCGTTGACGACCGTTAAAATACGTTAGCGATCCTTCCAATCCATTAACGGCCTTGAGCGGCAGCTAAAATAGGTAACGCCCGGACAAACTTGTTAATGTCACATGGAAGCCATTGTTCCATCGAGTCATTTTCAACACAGTAGTTAACAGGTCAATACAAGGTCAAAATGGCTACAAATTTCGAAGTCACCATTCTGTTATTTATATTTTCTTTCCTCTCTTCCTTCACTCTTCATTATTCTACATTTATTACTACAAATGTTATTAATATACATATTTTTTCCCAGGAAGGAAAACGTAATCTCGTAAATAAATTCACCTAAATTACCTGCTGGGAAAAAAATTAACTGATCAATTGAGAGTATTTCATTTTAATTCTAAAAATGCAAATTTAATTCTTTCAAACTTATGTTCTTTGCCGATACACCACATATATATATATATATATAAAATATATATATATATATATATATATATATATATATATATATATATATATAAAATATATATATATATATATATATATATTATATATATATATATATATGTCGTGCCGAATAGGTAAAAACTGGTCAATTAGCAAGAACTCATTTAAAATTAAGTCCTTTCTAAAATTTTCTATTATACGTTTAAAGATATATTTTTTCATTAATTTAATGTTAAAATTTTTAATTTTGCACCAAAAGAATCTTAGAAAACTTACCTAACCTTATTAAAAACAAGAGCAATTTATTTTAGCCTAACCCAACTGAATATATTTTAGATTTGTTTACAGTAATTTAATACTAAACAAACACAGTGAAATATATTTTATTCGTTAGTTCAGAATGATTTTGGCGAAATTATTGCTACACAAATTTTCACTTGTCCTATATGGCAAGATGAGCGTTGCTATTTAAGCCAAGATCGCAAGTTCTGCCTATTCGGCACTACATACATACATACATACATATATATATATATATATATATATATATATATATATATATATATATATATATATATATATATTTAGATTAATATATAGGGAAGTACCACCTCTATAGCTGGAATGGGGACCCTCATCCTCAGAGAAGACAATAAACGTACCTCAGGAAAAACTCAAGGTATTTCCAGGAGCTGTTTGAATATTTTCTTCTCTTACCACTCCCTATATTTTATATTCTATGTGAACATTTATTAATAGACAGAATACATTTACAGAAAACACAAACATGAATACAATGGTACATTGTGTTAAAGATCATGAATTTCCTCCAGCTCCTCCGAAGCCGAACGCGAGCTAAGTATGCAGCAAGCATTTCCCCTCTGGATGTCCATGCTGAAAAGCTGGAACATGAAAGTGGCTGCCCTTGGATCTCTGGTGGTGTCGATGAGTCTGGAACCCAATTCTTTAAGGAAACGTGTTGTATTTTTTTCCCATGATCCCAAGATCTCTGATCTCACTGGGACAAATTGATACTGTTGGCTTATGTCCCTGTACTTGCTGATCTTGTACTCCTCCCTGTGGTCAGCAGCTTCTCCCTGTGGTCAGCAGCGCCTCCCTATGGTCAGCAGCTCCTCCCTGTCGCCCAACGCTGTGATGGATATAGGTGTCAGCCAGTGTGGACACACAGGTATAGTCCCATGCTTGCCATTCTTCCAAGGATAGATGGTGATCCTGTCGGGGCGGTTTGCTGGGTTGTGGGTATTGTTGGCTGCTAGTGATCGGGGCTCCCTCTCGGCTGGGCATCCAGCTGTAGCTGGATGTTGTTGACCTCATTGTGTCTTGCATGCCAGCCCTTGGTTTTGGAACAGTTAAGACCATGTAGACCATATTGGTCTGCTTGAGCTTCGCTGCAAATACACGTATATTCTGTGTGAATTGGGGCAACAAGGCGCAGAACCACTGCAATACGGAGTGTCTTAGGGTCGAGTCGCGCTCCCATTGCCGATATGGGAACTGTTTGGAGGAAGTCCCCGGAGTGATGTGCGCTCACAGCCTGGAGACGGGCAATCTCCCTATCTGATGTTGCAGTCCTGAGCATGTTGGCAAGCACCTTTTCAGCAATAGGGCCATCCCAGCTTGACTGTTTGTGAGCCAGTGCTGCACTAGGGTTTGGTGCTGGAGCAGCAAGAGTCTCCCATTCAGTGATGGCACTGGCATAGGTAGGGTCCTGTATTCCTGCTGAGTCACTGAAGTTATCAGGAAGAATTTCTCTTATCAACTCGTTTGATGCTATGGAAGAGGATAGGAAAGCTGGTAGAGCAATCTGGGAGGATCTGCGCACTCCTAGCCCCCCAAGTCTGACCGGAAGTGAGACTTGCAACCACTGTCCATCTTCAAGGGAAAGATTCAATACACTCTCTAGCATGGTCTTCAGGAGAGAGTCATATTCCTTGAGTTTTGGACTGCTGAGGGCTGGGGAGCATCTCAGAAAGTAGGTATGTTTTGGGATTGACAGGCACCTGGTGAGTAGGTAGAAGGCATCGTGTGTGTCAGTGTTTTTCATCCTGCTTTCCATCGTCCTGAGGTCTGAGATTTTTTTTTTCTAGGATCAGATCGATGGCATTGGACCCAAGAGGAGCACCGAGGAGAGTGCTATTGGCTGGATCAATGGCTCGTGCTCCTGGTAAAACGGCGCTAATATTCTGGATCATCTGTTGATTGGTAGAAACTATTTCACATTTGGTGGGGTTTAAAGATAAGCCCAGGCTTTCTCCCATGTCTTTAATTTTACTGATGCCCTCTAGGAGAGATTCTGTTGTGCCAGCTAGGGTACCATCATCCAGGAACCATATATATATATATATATATATATATATATATATATATATATATATATATATATATATATATATATATATATATATATATATATATAATATATATATATGCAATAAGATCACAGTAAACAGGTGATTTCAGAATATGCAAAACAACCACTCTGAAAGAATAGAGAAATTCCAAGCGCTTTCGTGACTACTCACATTATCAATAATGTGAGTAGTCACGAAAGCGCTTGGAATTTTTCTATTCTTTCAGAGTGGTTGTTTTGATATATATATATATATATATATATATTATATATATATATATATTATATAATATATATATATATATATATACATACATATATATATATATATATATATATATATATATAAAATATATATATATATATATATATATATATATATATATATATATATATATATATAATATTATATATATATGTCGTGCCGAATAGGCAGAACTTGCCATCTTGGCTTAAATAGCAACGCTCATCTTGCCATACAGGACAAGTGTAAATTTGTGTATGCAATAATTTCGCCAAAATCATTCTGAACCTAATGAAAAAAATATATTTCACTGTATTTGTTTAGTATTAAATTATTGTAAACAAATCTAAAATATATTTAATTGGGTTAGACTAAAATAAATTGTTCTTGTTATAATAAGGTTAGGTAAGTTTTCTAAGTTCCTTTTGGTGCAAAATTATAAATTTTTACATCAACATTAATGAAAAAATATATCTTTAAACATATAAGAGAAAATTTTTAGAAAGGACTTAATTTTAAATGAGATCTTGCTAATTGACCAGTTTTACATATTCGGCACGACATATATATATATATATATATATATATATATATATATATATATATATATATATATATATATATATATATATATATATATATATAATATATATATATATATATATGTCGTGCCGAATAGGCAGAACTGCGATCTTGGCTTAAATAGCAACGCTCATCTTGCCATATAGAACAAGTGAAAATTTGTGTATGCAATAATTTCGCCAAAATTATTCTGAACCTAACGAAAAAACATATTTCACTGTGTTTGTTTAATATTAAATTATTGTAAACAAATCTAAAATATATTTAGTTGGGTTAGGCTAAAATAAATTATTCTTGTTATAATAAGGTTAGGTAAGTTTTCTAAGATTCTTTTGGTGCAAAATTATAAATTTTTACATCAACATTAATGAGAAAAATATATCTTTAAACGTATAAGAGAAAATTTCAGAAAGGACTGAATTTTAAAGGAGTTCTTGCTAATTGACCAGTTTTTACATATTCGGCACGACATATATATATATATATTATATATATATATATATATATATATATAATATATATATATATATATATATATATATATATGAAGGTGTGACAGCCTGGCGCACTGGCTTGTGGATAATCGATATTGAATGATAACGTAGAAAATGTCACTAAACCTATATATACACATCCTTCAGAACTTTGTAGTTTAACGGTGAGTTTTTTGATTTGTTCCAGTCACGGCATTGTTCCAGCCACGGTATTGTTCCAGTCACGGTATTGTTCCAGTCACGGTATTGTTCCAGTCACGGTATTGTTTCAGTCACGGTATTGTTCCAGTCACGGTATTGTTCCAGTCACGGTATTGTTCCAGTCACGGCATTGTTCCAGCCACGGTATTGTTCCAGTCACGGTATTGTTCCAGTCATGATACTGTTCCAGTCACGGCACTGTTCCAGTCACTGTATTGTTCCAGCCACAGTACTGTTCCAGCCACAGTACTGTTCCAGTCACTGTATTGTTCCAGCCACAGTATTGTTCCAGTCGCTGTATTGTTCCAGCCACGGTATTATTCCAGTCATGATACTGTTCAAGTCACGGTACTGTTCCAGTCACTGTATTGTTCCAGCCACGGTATTGTTCCAGTCATGATACTGTTCCAGTCACGGTACTGTTTCAGTCACTGTATTGTTCAGGCCACGGTACTGTTTCAGTCATGATACTGTTCCAGCCACGGTATTGTTCCAATCACTGTATTGTTCCAGCTACGGTATTGTTCCAGTCGCTGTATTATTCCAGTCACGGTATTGTTCCAGTGATGATACTGTTCCAGTCACGGTACTGTTCCAGTCACTGTATTGTTCCAGCCACTGTATTGTTCCAGTCATGATACTGTTCCAGTCACGGTATTGTTCCAGTCACTCTATTGTTCCAGCCACGGTATTGTTCCAGTCATGATACTGTTCCAGTCCCGGTACTGTTCCAGCCACTGTATTGTTCCAGCCACAGTATTGTTCCAGTCACTGTATTGTTATAGCCACGGTATTATCACTGAGACCCACATAAAGGATCACTTGGACAACGAAATATGGATCCCAGGTTACAACCTATACAGATGTGACAGAGTGAACAGGCAAAAGGGGGGGGTTGGCCTGTACATTGCAGAGTCACTTGTTTGCACAGAACTGCTTAATGCCTCAAATGACGTAGTGGAAGTTTTAGCAGTAAAGGTCGAGAACCAAAACCT